TCAGGGCCTCCTGGCCCGTCGGCTCTCAGCCGGTGTTGGGGCTGGAGAGCACTGGAGGAAAGAAAGGGATAGAATGCAATTTATTTGATTTTTCATAACATTTGTTAACAGTAATGTATATTTGCATTTAATATATGTATTTTTGCTTGTTTATATATTAATGTTTTTGAAGAATGTTAGCATTGTTTAAAATATTAATTTTAAATATATAAATAAAATCAATAAAACATTTTTTTCAAAAAAAAATTTTATTCTCAAAATATTCAGAATAATAACTATCACCTCAGACACCAATGTGCATGCGCATAAAATGTAAACATTGCTACATGTGGCAATAATTTCAAATCTCGTGATAGCCTTTATCTCCTCCCTGGCAAGAGATTTCGGTATGTGGAAGAACCCCAACACGCATACGCAAGAGCTGTGAATGCAAGAGGAGTGCAAAAAGATAATGAGTTATGCTACTGAACCAAGTGCAATTCCAGATTGATATGGTAATGCAGAAAACTGTTTCAATTGCATTATTGAGGTTGTTAGAGTTGCACTAATGTAGTTGTGATATTTCACTGCTATATCACCCCAGTGCAGTAATCTCCCTAGTAACCTGGAGTTATTTAAACTAACAATTATAGGCCTCAGTAGAATCATAATACTGGCTCCCAGAAAAACATTGTTCTCAAATTAGGAGTCAGACATATATACATATTTCTTCCTCTTCTTTTTTCATGTTAACAATGGTTTAGTGTTACATAAGTTATGGAGAACAAAATCCATATTCCCTTAAAATGATAAATTATAATAAATAAACACATAAACTATGATTAGCTGCTCTCAGTTTTTAATTTTTTTTATTGTACAGGTGGCATGAAATAATGTTCACTATGGGAAGGTAAATCTGTGTGTGGGGGATGGAAAAGAGGGATGAAATGTGCATCCATGCCACTGACTTTTGCATGCCACTGACTTTTGCTTAAAACATGTTTTGCTAAAAGCCACCATCACACAAGTATCAGATCAATAAAACAAAGTCTAATATTCTTGAGAAACAAATTCCTAATTCCTATGAGAAATTGTTTTCTCTTCTCTGTTTTGGGAAGCAGTATCTATTACCAACAAAAAATAGCTTCTCTACATACATGTGCAGTGAGATGTGCTTGATTTGCTTCCAATTAATTGTGTTTTCATAACATTTGTTTAATTGTGACCTGAGGGTGAGTTGAAGATTCATGCTGTTTTACAATAGCTCATTAGGCCTTAGCCACTGTTCCTTGAATAACAGAAGAAATAAACTGTGTAGAAATCTATCACCACCACTTTAAAAGGGAACTGGGGTAAGAGAAACCAAATATAACTTAATACAAATATATTAAATGATTCACTTCCTTTATTACCCCACTAAACTTACAGGGCTTTTGGACTATTCATCACTTCTCAATGTGAGTCATCTTGACATCATCTTTAAAATATCAAACAATGTAGTAACTGCCATTACAATAAAACAATCACTTTAAAGGCAGATGAAAGTAGCTGAAATACCCTACTACTTTGAATAATTTTAAATACAATGGTGTTAAATATCAAACAACTCTTTTAAAGGTAAGGTGCAAGTATAG